TTCATGTTAGAGTCTTTCAAGGTAAAACTTAGTCCTCTGCAGCTCGGGGTCCCAGGACTGCAGGGCTGACAAGGGATTTCTCTTTCTGAATTCTTGGGACACTCACCACAAAATCAGTACCATGTTATATGTGGTATCCTGGCCCATGCTGCACTGTGTAAGTTCTTTGGTATATGTCCTTGTCAAGTACCTGTTTGGTCCTCTGAGCAGTGAAAACTGACTGTTTTACTTGGGTTAAATGCTCAATCTCTCTTAGCCTCAATTTTTCCTTTGAAAATGGAAGTAATGGTAACTATGTTGGTCCTATCCATGATTCTCTTCCCACTTCCATCTTGGGAATGTTGTGGACAGAAGTGGTGTTGCTTGATGCAGTGGTTCTCCAAGTGTGCTTTGGAGAGTTCCTGGGGACCCATGAAGGCTCCTCTTTTCCAACTACGTATCTGTGTGAGGCTGGGTTTTCTTTACATACCATACGTCAATGGAAATGATGCATTCTGAATGCAAAAATGGCTTGAGAATCCAGCTGTCTTCTATTGAGCCAGATATTAAAGCTTTTGCAAAAAATGTAAAACAAAGCTCAGTGTCCATAGCACAGTGGTTATGGCTCTGGTGACATGTACTGATGTTGGTGGTTTCGAACCCAGCCTGGGCCAGCTAAGCAACAATGACAACAGCAACAACAATAAAAAAAATAGCTGGGCATTGTGGAGGGTGCCTGTAGTCTTAGCTACTTGGAAGGCTGAGGCAACAGAATCGCTTAAGCCTAAGAGTTTGAGGTTGCTATGAGCTGTGGTGCTACGGTACTCTATTGATGGTGACATAGTGAGACTCTGTCTCAAAAAAAGTGTAAGGGCGGTGCATGCTGGCCCCATATACCAAGGGTGGTAGGTTCAAACCTGGCCCTGGCCAAACTGTAACAGAAAATTAGCCGGTGTTGTGGTGGGTGCCTGTAGTCCCAGCTACTACAGAATCGTCTAAGCCCAAAAGCTGGAGGTTGCTGTGAGCTATTATGCCATGGCACTCTACTGAGGGTGACAAAACGAGACTTTGTCTCCAAAAAAAAAAAAA